TCTCATAAATTTACGTAAGAAAGATCTGATTAGATTAGTAAATATAAAAAGCTACAGGTTTTGTTAATGAAGACATGAAATGTTTGGGGTTTTTTGTTACTTTTTAATACTGTTCATCCAGTATGCAACATATTCTATTATGAATGTGATGTATGCTGACGATCTAAGTGGAATATGTGTTTAGCTGGCAAGTCTGACATACAAAGAAGTTTGAAAAGGCATCATAGGATGTTAAAAATCACTAATGATACTTGCAAGCTTTCTTAAGGACATAGCTCTAATCTCACCTCATCTACAGGTTATAATTTCCATTTCAGATGCCACTGGTTTTTAGTTCTACTTTATTTTCCCAGAGGTGAATAATTTTTTGTGTGTTTCAGTTGTGCTAATCGCTAGAGGTCATCTCTGATCAGTTTGGTCTACTTAATACACATAACTACCTATTTTAAGAGCTGAAGTGAAAAGTGAAAGACTCGTATTTCGGTCAATTAGGTTCTTCATAGTGAAAAATAATAAGAGGGTTTCTTTAAACCATTTTACTTAACTTTTTCAAAATCACACTTGTTTTTGAGAAACATAAAAATCTCAGGTTCTCCTAAAGTACTTAAAGTTTATAAATAAAAGATATATTAAAAACAATATATGGAAATTTTTAAAAATTCTATTTTTAGCTTGATCTCAGAAGATACTTTTCAATGTTGTCGCTACTCCAATAATTCAAAATCAGCATGAGTATTAAGGCTGCCTGTATATCCTATAAACTTTTCCATCCTTGGAAATGTGGACAGTAGAGAACGTCATTCAGTGATTTCAGCATTAGGCTGTTGCATTGTTTCATTTTAATAACCAGACAGGCATGGAAAAATAGATAGATGATAGACAAATGCATGTAAAGAAACAAAGAAGGGAGAAAGCGAGAGAAAGAAGGAGGGAAGGAGAAAGAATTTTTCCTTTAAGGGAAGGGTTACCTCCATCCCCTTGAAATCACTAATTTAGATAATTCCCAAAGGAATCTTTGATCAAAGCCACATGATCTAGAAAACTTTTCAGGATCTCCTTTAATCAGCTTAACCAAATGACTACTGCCAAGTCTATTTCACTTAGTTCTATTAAGGCTACTTTGAGGCTCTTAAGGCTATTTTGAGGCCTTCATCACATAATCAAGACACCTAGCTGATAAGGCTGCCCAAGGCAGAAGAAAGATTTACTCTAAACATTGCAATTTAAGAAACTCAGTTTGGAAAATATGATTTAAGAACACATATTATATTGAAATCCAACTCTTCACACTATGTTGGGATTACATCTATCATGACATCTCAATGTTTAGTAAAATTAGAGTAAAAAAATCTAAAATTGTAACTCCTAGATATTCCACTGGCCTGGTATATCATCTATAACAAGATAATTCCAGGAAGTAAGATAGTGGTTACAACTATGCCTGATATAAGAAAAACCACTGCAATTGCAGATATATACACAACATAGTTACTATATTATATTATATTATATTATATTATATTATATTATATTATATTATATTATAATGTTATATTACCATAAAACTCCATAAACATTTCTAAAATTCTCCTATTAATTTACAAGGTAGTGAAAATGTATAAAGTGAAGGAACTAACAAGTCTTGATTCAAATGACAACTGTGCCTGAGACTCTGAAGACTCAGAGAATTTTCTCACACATCTTAGTGTGTTTTCTAGATATATATACTGCATTTAAAGTTTTGGAAAACAAACACTGTGTATTTGCACACACATAAAAAATGCGATTGTAGCATCATCATTTGGATTTACCTAAAAATAAATGTTTAAGCTGAAATTATTTATCTAATAGCCTCATTTATTAAGCCCAAATATGGAAGTATGTATGAGTGTGTCCTAAGGAGGTCTATAATCAATAATTTCTATCTCAACATAAAAAAAAGTAGTAACAAAATGGCCTATGAAGCAAATTCCCTAGGGCTTTAGAAAGATAGGAAATGCTGAAAAATTAGAGTAGAAAATACAGAAGAGAAAGACACAGCTTTGAACTGAATATTAACACTTAACTTGAGATTATTTAAAACAGAACATTTCTATTAGAATACCCATGGTTATGAAAGACAACTTATTCCACGAAGATTACAAAAATTATGATATTTGTATGTCTAATATTAGTACTGGCTGGGATTGCACACTGTGAAATAAGAAAATGTAACAGATAATCAGTAAGCATTTCACTCACTAATTATGATTTCATAATTTTTTTAACTTTGTATTCTCAGATGTCGGATACTTACCTGGAAACTGACATCCACTTGGTTGCTAAGAGATATGACATCAGTTTGCATTTTTTTCTGTGTCTTTAGGAGAATTGCTCTCTTGGGTTTTACCTCAAAGTAGTAAAAGTTCACTCTGTTACCCATGTGGGGACTTATATTACTTGTACTAAAAGAAACTCCCAAATCTCAGAAAAGAAATGAATTACTCTCAACTTGCACAATTTAAAACAAGTATCTGTTTTTTTCCCCAAGCTTAATGAGTTTCCATTTCATGCAACTAAAATATAACAGCATTGTTCTACAATCAAATTTAACAGATTAGTTTATGAGTCTTTTCACAAAAATCTTATGATAAATGAAGTCATTCAGTCAATTGGTACTCCCAAAGTAAAGCTCAAATCCAACATTTCGAAAGTATTTTCTGCCTATAACTTTGACTATGTGCTTCTTTGAACAACAGGGGGACAAGACCAAACTTGATCTGTGTTTTCTTATGCTTTATGGAAAGATCAAAAGCAAAACACAGTTATAAATATGTGCATTCTAACTGGTCATTAGTTTATCACAAATAATATTGATTTGCCTAATCAAAGAGAATATTCTTCCAAAATAAGACCCATATTTCAATCAGCAGCACGTTTCTTAATGACACTGAGCATTTAGACTCTCTTCACATGTAAATTTCATAACCTTTCAAGGACAATCTTCTATATCACATTTTAAAGAAATATGCTGAAAAAGCATTCCATTGCAGTAACATTTTACATTGCTGTAAATGTAAGAGGTTTAATTTTTAACACCCGTGTACTTATCACAGAGCCATTGATCATTTACTCTGACTTATTATCAATGTTTTACTGGAGTATATGGAAAAGGAACACAAGATAATGTGTTTCTCTGTCTACTAAGTGAAACAAAGCCCACTTGCCCACTCCCCTTTTTACTCAACTTCTTGCACACCGTCAGCCAGCTGCGATCTTGGTGATTCCTTGTACCTCATATGCTGCTTTAGCAGTAAGTCAGTTTACTATGGACCCGTTAAGAAAATTCCTGTTACAAGCAAGGTCTTTGAAATGCAGTTTTACACCAATGAAAGGGCTATCTAGTGCCCATCTTGAGGGGAAAAGAGATGAATTTATCCTCTGTCTTCTGGGCTTTTACTGATTTATAAACTCACACCTTTATAAACAAGTTCTGTCACAGAGAGGAAGGAGATATGCAAACTGTAACACCTGGAGACATAAAATGTAATGACCTCAAAAAACACATCTCAGGGGGCGCCTGGGTGGCTCAGATGGTTAAGCATCTGCCTTCGGCTCAGGTCATGATCCCAGGGTCCTGGGATCGAGTCCCACATCAGGCTCCCGGTTCAGCGGGGAGCCTGCTTCTCCCTCTGACCCTCTCCCCTCTCATGCTGTTTCTCTCTCGCTCGCTCTCTAAAAAATAAATAAATAAATAAATAAATAAATAAATAAATAAATAAATAAATAAATAAAAAAACACATCTCAGAAAGAGGGGGCGGGGGAAACCGGGTTCCAGAGAAGAAGAAGAAAAAAAAAAAAGAGGCAAAGGAGCGAATCTGCACCATTAAACAACAACAACAACAACAACAACAGGAGTAATAGAAAACCCTCCCGGGTTTTTCCAGTAAGTTTTGTGCAGGAGCAGCAACAACCTAATCAATATGCACATCCTCACCCTCATAAAACCTCCTGTCCCCAGACAGAAACTGCGGGTCCCTCTCCACCGTGTCCTCGGGGGGCAGAAACCACCACTCAAAAGGGAGGAGATTTCAGAGGCGTAGGGAGGGGCAAAAACAGGTATGTGTAGCTCCAGCATCCTCATCTTCCTCCCAGCTACAAGCCTGAAAGTCCGCCTAGGAACCAGCCCTGGCTCCTAGACACCCTTCCGCCTGGGCCCTCCCTGCCAGGGGGGCGCGAGAGGCTGCGGAGCCCGCTGCGCAGTTTTCGGACTCCAAACAAGGACCCCTCCACCACCACCCTCGCTCCCCGTGCCTTCACCCCAGGCCCTCGCTTTCTAACCCCTTTCAGCGAGACCTCGTTGGGGTAGGACAGGGATGCTCCTCGGCCAAGAGGAGACGTGACGGGCTTCTCTGCCGGAATGAGTTGCTGGGGGTCGGGTGGGGGTGGTCATGGAGAGGGGCTCTTTAGGAAAACCCAGGACATGGGGCAACTGAAACCTTAGTACCAGTCACCCTCGCTGCCACCCCCACCCCACCCCTTGCCTTAAAGCCGACTTCTCCTGAGGCTGGCGGCGGCAGCGCGGCGCGGCCGGGATGGGGATGAAAGGAACCCCGGGGCCACCACGGCCTCTCTAAAGGGACTGCGCAGGTGGGCGCAGACCTGGAAAGTCTGCGAAGCCAGAGCTCAGTTACCCCGGGCCCAGAGAGTGTGAGTGTGAGCGAGAGGGTAAACCCGAGCGCTCGCCGGGCCGAGGGGCGCTCGGCAGCGGGGCAAGCGCGGCGACAGGGGTACCCCGACCGCCGAGGAGAGACAGCTCACCCACCCCGGAGGCGACAGGGCTGGAGGAGCTATCGGGGCTGCGAGACTGGGAAACTTAATGCAAAACAGACAGCTTCCTCCGCCAGGACGTGCCCCCGCGCGCTCAGACCCGCTCCAACGCCTCCCGAATCACCCACCATCACCCACACCACCCTGCAGAAATCCCCACCGAGCCCTCGGATCCCGGGCGGGTAATTACCTCTCCCGGAGGCGGAGTGGGGGGCGGCGGCAGCAGCAGACACTTTTAGCCTGACTTTCCTGCGTTCGCTCCGGAGCGTGTGCGCGCCGAGCAGGAGCTGTAACCTGCTATTTATAGACCGGAGCCTCAGCACCCGGGGCTGAGAAGCAGGAGGAAGCGAGCAGGCGGCGGCGGCGGCGGCGGCGCAGGGCGCGGGCCGCGGCTCCCCGAGGCTCCCGCCGCTCCCTCAGGCGCCCGGCTCAGGCCGCGCTCGCCGCTCGCTCCCCGCCCTCCCGCCCGCCCCGCGGCGCGCGCCCCGGAGAAGTTGTCACCAGCGCGGCCGCCTCTCCGGCTGCTCACACGCCCCCTGGCACAATTGCTACTTTCGCCCCCTACCCCCACCCTCCCTGCTCCTCTTCCTCCGCCTCCGCCCGTTCCAAGCGGTCTCCTCCCAATGTCACCAGCGGCCCAATAGGGGCGGCGGCGGCAGCGCCAGTCTCGTAACTGGCGCAGCTCGCTTCCCGCTACTGATGGAGTGGAGTTGGTACCCCGGCCGCCCAGCCCTAGATGACCCAAACACGCTTGCTCCGTGAGCTGACACCCTGCACCCCGACCCTCTGCAAGCGGGGACGGTCGCCCAGCCTGGGCTGAGGGAGCACAGCTGCAGAGTGGAGGTGAGGGGTGACCCGGGGCCGCCCCGCTGAAGCGGGGGCCGGAAAAACCACAGGGTTCTCTAACGGGCGGGAGGAGGTGCCCCAGACCCCCCACTGGCAGCGTCGGCCCAGGCTGGGGGTGAGCGAGAGTGGGAGGCGGTGTTCCCCGTGCCCCGGACTTCAGCCTGCCACCACCCTGGGACCCGTCTCTCTTGCCACTCCTCCGCCTTGGCCCCGGGTAGAGGTCTGGCGAGGGAGACCTGGGCACTGACTGGGCCTCCAGCTCAGCGCAGCCCACCGCCACCCACCGCCAGCCCCCACGTCGCGGCGGGTGCCTAAGGCCGAGCTGCTCCTAACCGCCTCTGGCAGCCCGAGTGCGTGGGGACAGATCTGCACTCTGCGTGTTTGGGGTGTCAAGAAAACAGGGTACGTAATCACGCAGTCTGAACGGAGACTAAAACTCCCCCACTTCCTAGCCAACAAGCCCACAGTGGAAGGCACGCAGCCTGGTTATTCCGGGCTGTGGGGTGCGGGGCAAATGATTCTCTCCATCTGCGCCTTACAGGTGCCACCTGGCGGTTCTCTTGCAGAGGTTTTATCTGAACTGCTCAAAGGTAATGGGAAGGCTGGTAAGGCCGAGCTCCAGTCCACTCGGGCATCCTCAGCCTCTCCCTTCCCTAAGGGCGCTTTAAATTCACAATAGGAGTGAGAAAGCTAGTACACATCAGTTACATTTGCCATGCAGGAATCCCGAAGTTAGGATGGTGAAGTCGATTTGGGTTAAGTCAGCACTTAGAGTTACACAAAGTGGGAAGCTATAGCTGCCCCCAGCTGTCACCCCTGCTGTCATTTCCTGCATCTAGACAACCATTCACTCCACAAACATTTAACTGCCACCAGGTTATAAGCTTTATCTATGAGAACAGAGACTTTGGTGTTTTGTTTGTTTGTCTGTCTGTTTTTCCATCACTTTTCCTCAGAGCTTGGAACACAGCCTTACATGTTGTAGTTTCCATAAATGTTTATGGAATAAATTAAACACCATGGGCCAGACACTGTGCTTGGCTTGTTCTCTCCCTTAGCCCCTGCAGCCCTTCCCTTTCCCTCCCTTCAAGCTTTTTCTGCTATGCCCAGCCACCATCACATGTGAGCTAGAAGGAAAGAAGAAAGGTGAGGGGCTAACAGTCCAGGCAGGCCCTTGAGGATGTGGATCACATTTGAGGAGCCTGTTACGGTTCGATTTCTCCTGCATGGGGCAGTGCTGAACACACCCATTTCTGGAGGAAAAAAAAAAGACTATGTCATACTTGGGGCTTGAAACAATGGGTAAATTCTGCTAATAGAGATCTGCTGGCAAGATGATACAACTTTCTTACTGGGCAACAGTTTCAGCCTTTTCTTAAAATACAGAAAGATTGAAAGAATATCTGAACATCAGGGTGCCAGAGCTTTGCTACTAAATTGAAAAGATGTTTAACATATTTGTCCTCTAACTTGAAATGGAGCTGTGTGTGCGCGTGTGTGTGTGTTTATGAAGACTGCCACATTGCCAGAAGTACTAAACTGTTCCTTTTAAAAGACAGAGTTGTAAAATAGATGCAGCTGATGTCTTTATGGAAATGAACACTTAAAGTGACATACCCAGAAAACCCTCTTACAATTAAAATCCAGACACAGATCATGCTGACCTAGACCTTTTGCAGGGCTGCTCAGGAAAATGTGATGTATCTGTGTACGTCTTCTAGAAGTTTAAATTCTGGGGAGAGAGAGGGAGGGAGGGAGTCAGATACATGTATCACGTGGCATTTTAAAAATCCATCAATCAGCCTGATAGTTACCTTTTTTAGTTATTTGTTGTTTTCTTTAAATAAGCCTAGAGGCTTCAGATGCTTCTGTGGTTTATTAAACTCATATTTAATGAACATCCACTTTTACAAACCTTGAACTTCTAGCCACTTGTGCCCCCCAAATATAATTCCATTTGCCAATGAAGGACAAAATATTTTTCATTTCCTCTTGAAATATCTTTGTATGGCCAGAGGTAAAAAACGTGATTCCCAGTAGTTACCTTGCTATCTAAAGCAATAAAATCAATCCAGGATCTGCAGGGCTGGTGTCACACCCTCCTTTTTAGTGAAGTAATTCATTCATTATTCCTGGAGATTTCTATTTCAAGTGAGCTTGGTATGGCACAAGGAGGACTCCATACTTTTGTGATCCTTCACTATTAAAAACCTATAAAAATATAGCCAAGTATGACAGAGGTACTTTTTCTTACCACAGTTGTTTATTTGTATTAATGATAACTTTGTAGATCAAGTCATGGTTTTCATTCTAATTTTGAAAAATTAACACTGGAAGAGTTAAGCTTTGATAATCATACATTAAGGTCATTTTTACATGAGCATGCATGTGTGTGTGTGTGTATATGTGTATTTAAATTAAATTAATGGGAAATGTTATTAGAAATAGAAATTTGACCCAATTTAACTAAAAAGGAGAAACCATTGTAAAGGTACCAGGCTACCCATGGAACAAAAAACAGGAATGCAGCTGGGCATCTGTGACAACTTGGCGACAGGGACATGCCATTAGGACTTTATCTCTCCCTCCTCCCCAACCATGCTGCCTGCTCCATTTCTCTCTCTCTCTTTCTCTCTCTCCCTCCCTCTCTCTCCCTCTTATACAGACCTTCTCTGCTTCTCTGGTGTGCACTAGGTTGCATGGTCACTCACAGCTCTTGAACTTCATAGTCTATGGGCCAGTTCCAAATCTTCAAGGAAGTACCATGATTGGCCCAGGTGTTGTACCCCAGTCCAGACAATCATGGCCAGGAGATGGAGGGCAAGTTACATTCTCCTGGCAGCTACTATAGTAATCAGGGGGCTGGTAGCGATGTGTCGAGACAAGAGGGAAAGGATAAAACTTCCCAGAATGTGGGGAGGGGTATAGGTCACTCCTGATCACTGCTAACTCCTGACCCTTGCTGTTCCATGAATATTGGCACAAAAGGCAGAAGAAACACAAGGAGCAATGACTTTTGTGTAAATGCATATGGGTGTTTAAATACTGAGTGAGGCAGAATGCCTCTTACTGATCGTGGTGCTCTAAGATGACTTGTCCTAGTGGAAGTAGTTATATAGTTTTATGATCTCTTGATGTGGAACTGGATGACCATGAAGAAGGAATCAAGTATTTCACAGACAGTTTACTTTAGCTTCTTTCATCATGGCAAATTAAATCAGAGATTTTTTTTAAATGAAGGAAACGAGTGTGATAGCATTTACATTTATTGACGATAAACATTCTGCTCTCATTTACATAATAGCTACATTTCTAAAATGTTTATAAATCATATATTTGAAAGTGAATCATATTTCAAACATAACAGGGTGGTGAATCTTAACATTTTTGTGGTCATGAACCCCTATGAGAATTTGTGGACTCTCCCCAGAAAAAAAGACGAGCAGATGCAGACACATTTGTGGTGACACGATATATGACATTTCTACCTTAGTCCCCTCTTACATATGGTTTCACTTTCCACAGTGTCAGTTACTCAGTCTAGAAGCAGGTGATCCTCCATCTGATATATCATCAGAAGGTCAGCCGTAGCCTAACACTGTGTCACCATGCCTACCTCATTCCCTCACTTCATCTCAGCATGTAGGATTTTATCATCTCACATAATAACAAGAAGGGTTGAGTATACCACAACAGAAATTTGAGAGAGTAAGAGACCACATTCACATAAATTTTATTATAGTATAATTGTTCTATTTTATTCTTACTTACTGTTGTCATTATTTCACGGTGCCTAATTTATAAATTAGACTTTATGGTAGGTTTGTATGTATAGGAAAAAACATAGTATATATACAGTTCAGCACTATCTATGGCTTCAGGCATCCACTGGGGGCCTGAAAGTATCTCCTGTGGATACTGGAGGTCCACCTTACTTGAGATCTGAAACTTTAAACATGTTTCTTTTTCCTTCCTTCAGTCACCCCCACTTGAACAAGTGAAACAAAGACTCCAGATACAAAAGATTCAAATGCCCAGTAAGCATAAGCCAAAAACTTGGTTGAGGTTAGGGTGTGCTGGAGCCTATGTGAACCTAGCGACCAAGTCCCCTTCCCACCCACTCCTGCCCTGAATGAGCCATAAATGAGCTGTAGGTAGGAAAAGAAAACAGAGCTCTTAGAAGGATGGGAGAAAATTGCAATGTTAGTTTGCTGGGACTATCATAAAATACTGCAGACTGGGTGGCATAAACAACAGAAATTTATTTCTCATGGTGCTGGAGATTGGAAGTTCAAAATCAAGATGCTGTCACGGTTACTCTCTCCTAAGGCCTCTCTCCTTAGCTTGAAGGTGACTGCCTTTCTCTGTGTCCTCACATGGTCTTTCCTCTGTGCGTAGCACCTTTGGCGTCTCTTAGTGTGTCTAAATTTCTTCTTCTTGTAAGAACAACAGTCATATTGGGTTAGGTACCACCCTGAGAGCTTCATTTTAACCTAATCACTTCTTGAAAGACCTTTCTCCAGATACAGTCACATTCTGAGGTACTGGGCTTAGGGCTTCAACATATGAATTTGACAGGACACAGTTCAGCCCATAATAGGCATTGCATCGAACTCCAGAATGAGTCTCGAGGTGGAGGTGGGATGGAGATTTCCCCTTTGTGTTAACAGGGCCCAAGAGTAAAGAAATTTGTATCCAGCTTTCCCACTGGAGTGTTTTGAGAATCTCAGTCTTAATAGAAGAACCCTGAACATAAGGGTGTAAAGTGGAAATATAAATGCTAGTATGCCTTATCTAGATTCTGGAGGGCTGAGGATTCTGGCCTGTCCAGCCCCTGGGTTTTCTCATGGTGCCTACTTCGTAAGGATAGGGCCCCTGTGAACTGTAGGAGGTATGGAAGTCAGTTGGGAAAGAGGGCCAGCCAACAGGACATGGAAGAGGCCACCTGGAAGGGTGGCCACATAAAATACCAAGGAACAGTGTGGCCTGTTGACCGGTGTGCAGAGATGTGGCCACAATTCCATGGCATTGCACATACCAGGCATGGGACCAAGCAATGACCTCAGAATAGTCAGAGCCTATTCACTAGAGCAAAGTTGTGCTTCACTCATGCCCAGAGAACAAAGACCAAGTCTCCTCTTTGGAAAATGAGAGAGGTCATCAACACCCAGACATGTCTCCCAGTATCACAGTGCTTCATCAGTCTCCTCTGGACCAGTAAGCTACCCCAGATTGAGGGAGAAAGATGAAGAGAGGGAGCAACAGTATCTCAAACTGGGTAAGTTTTAAACCCATTGGGTAAGTTTTAATAGGACTAAGAAAACTAAATTATCTGTTTCTGAGTACAAATGGGTGCTTGTAAGTTAATTTTATTGTAGAAAAATTATGTTCCACTTTTTATACCTGAGGTTTACAGACTCTACTGACTTTTAAGAATATATCCCTTACATTTCTTGTTTTTAATGAATTTTCAGAAAGTGCACTGATCCCCCAGAATAGCATCTATGACTCCAGATTGAGAATATTTGCCCCAGGGGATCTGGTTCTTTAAATCTGGTTGTGTGAAAAGTATTTTTAACCAAAAAATACTGCTTATATATATAATTTTCTACTAATGTATTATTTGAAATTCTATTTTCTTAAATAATAGAATCATAAATGGAGAAATTATAGACAATCACTGGGTAAAGATATCTATATTCAAGGAGTAGAGGTGACAGTATTATGCTGCTTCACTTCAAGAAATATAAAGCTTTTTTAAAAAAAAATGCAAAAGCATCTTCAAAAGCAAAAATATCTTGTTTTTCTTCCTGTCCCCATTTTCAACCAAATACTTTTTTATTATCTAATTATGTTACTAATGTTATAAAATGAAGGACAAACTTACCTATCAGACACGTTTGTAGGAAATGTTTGTGGTAATCAGTGGCATTGATTGGAGCAACTAGTACTTTCCAGAGCTAAGCCCACTCTCTGAATATTTTGTTACATTTTGTTCATTGGTGTCTCTATCGCTTAAACAGACAAATATATCCTTCTCATCCTGGTTTCAACAATTTCTCTACATCCAATCTTCCTGACAATTTACCATGCTAGGTCTCTTCTCCATGGTATAATCAAGTTTTACCATCCCTTAATGACCTGATCTAGGCTGGAATAAACCAATTTTGATCACCAAAGCAAGACAGAATGGGATCTAACTTTATCCCCCAGTAAAACCTATATCTCTGGAGATGCTCTCCATCAAGATGTCATGTGTTTATCAAGCTAAGATGCGTGCTTCAGGATCAGACAAATTAGAGCTCCAATCATGGTGCTCATTCATCAGTTGTGTGATCTTTGACAAGTGCCTTAAAATTTCTGAGTTTCTTCTTCCTTATCTGTAAAAGGGGATAATAGTACTTACCTATAGATTGACCATGAAAATACTCTGGAACACTATAAAGACATGACATGAGCTGGCATCCATCTTGTACAACTTATCTATCCAATCTCCCCTTGCCAAGACTGAAGAAGGTGGACATGGAAGAGGCAAAATCATTATGAAAACTAATTTGTATGTTCTAGGCCAGCTATTTCACCATTACCTATGACTAGACATTAGTTACAGAGATATTGGTCAGCACCTATGAAAAGTAACACAGTTCTAAAGAATCTGGCTAAGGTCTGTGCCATCTGAGAGAACTTTCCAGAGAATTTCCCAAATATTAAGCCAAAGTGCCATTAAGGAAGCAGCAGAAATCAAATTTGGTGGGAAGAATCAGAAAAATCTTCATGAAGGAGGTGATGTTTGATATGTCAGGGATTTCCGGAGACATAATTGGTAGGAATTCCACCGGGAGACATCTGGGCACAGGAATAAGTGAAGTCTACCTGGTGAAAACCCTCATCCTACAGGGTCTGATTGGAACATCATCTACTCTGAGAAGACCATCCATTTAATCCTGTTCTGTTCTTCCCTAGCACTGTGAACCTTCCTCAGCTGTATCACTTACTGCACTGGATTTGTTTACCCATGTGCCTCCTTCACTGGGTCACAAGCTCCACCTGAGAGTAAAAACTGTTTTATTTAGCTTTATGTAACAGATGGTAAGGTTCTGGAAAACTGAGAACTTGAAACCTAGGGAATTTTACATTTAATTATTTTTAAGTCAAATTATATCCAACTTGAACTTCTCACTACACTTGCTAAGAAATCTGTCAGTTCTTAAGGTCTGTTTTATCTCTTTTGGACCTTCTGATGGGACAGGGGTTTTCTCAGTCGTAACGCAACTTCTGACCCATGATTTTTCTCAGCACCTCTATATTCCTCACAGGATCAACAGGAACTCTGGACTTCCACATGGCACATGAAGATCATGAGATGTCATTACCCATCCATCTAGAACCTTCCTCTGTCAGTGCTCTCTAACATCCTACCCCAGGCTGAGTCTAAAACTTCTCTGAGATGCGCCATGTTTGGGGCACTTCAGAATGTATTTCAACTTACCTACTTTCTCTCCCTTGCAGATTAACCCCTAAGTGGGAAGAAGGACAACCACATCCATTTTTCTGTCCTTTTCGCATTTCCTGCCCTTTCTCCCTTCCCAGTTTTCTACTTCCCTACCCTATGAACCAAGGCTTCTATATCATATCCTCCTCTCTCTGGTGGCAATCGTGTTTCTCTTTCTTGGGACAATAATGCCAGAGAAGATGCAGAGAAAGAATTTGAAGAGAACATGAAAAGAAAATTCATCTGTGTTATTTCAAAAATACTATCGCATGTTATACTAATAGATGAACGAATGTGTGAATGTGCATGCATGTGTGTGTGTGTGATCACTAACCTTTTGAAGACTTTGATATTTCGGAGTAACTTTTCTTTTTAATATACAATGGAATATTGCTTTCTACAACATATCCAGAAAAATAAAAAGTTACAGATTTTCTTCTTTGTAAATAGAATATAAGCTTTTCACATAGAACACACTGCAATATTCTCTAAGGTGAAAGCTGGGAAATCATTATAGATAGCTCAAAAAATGTTCTTCCTTTGAAACACTGCACTTATGGGCAAATAGGATCATTTGAAACCTTAGGAAATGGTTGAGAAAATTCATCAATGTGAAAAGACAACCAAAGACAACCATTTTATTTGGTCTAAAATGAAGTAACATTTTATAGGACTGAGTTTCAGTTTCATGAAAGTTATAATGCAAACAAATGAGTGACTCATTTTATGCTTTCTATACTATAAAAATAAAAACCTCCTTGTCTGAGTTAACCTTTTCTGGTTTTGTAACCAAAAGCTCTGAGAGTAGATTTAAGTGTTTTAAAAAAACAAAAACAAAAACACAAACAAACACCAAAAAAGCTTGATAGATGGGGTACTCAGAAGTGAGTGGAAGCAGGGAACAGGTGAACACCACTCTTTTAAAACTGTGAACATTTTACCAGGTTCTTCAAATGGAGGATTAATATGAAAAATGTGGTCAGATTACTTTTTATTTGTGGAGGGGATAATTTGCTGGGTTTTTGTACTGGTAAAGCCAAAAAGAATATTATTCTCAAAATAGTGAGGAAGCAAAATAGCTGTACATAACAGTGAAAAAAAAAAGTTTCTTTTGTTCTAGGCTCTAATTAAATCTCTGAAGATGATTATGTTTCCTGGAGGCAGGCTTTGAACTGGGGGTTAAGAGTGGTGGATGAGAGAGAACCTAGATCTGTGTCTTGCTGGATCTCAGAAGGTTGTGGGACAACTGAACTCCAGGCAGGGAGCCCATGATCAAAGGCACTTCTCTTTCAATGATGCAAAATGCTCCCTGCATCATGTTGGCAAACCAAGCAGCGTCCCCTCTCCACCCCATCCTGTCACTATCCCCACATCCCAGCTTCCTTATGAAAGGACATGGCCTTTATATCTTAGCAGTCCCAAGAAGTCATCTTTTGTTTGTGTTCTCCTCTGTTGTCATTCCTTTGTATACCCACCATTCATCTGTGAAGTGTAGTTAAACATAGTAGCAGAATCTTAGCTGAGACTGGGTGACTTTGTTCCTTCCCAGGGTGGATCGGGAGGGCAGCAACAATGTGGAGAAGCCAGCCTGGAGTTAGAATCAGAAGATAAATAGTTGAGGGGACTCTGCAAACCAGAACAAATTGGTAGAACATATAAGCATTCTTTGGATCAAAAAAATACTGGGCTTCCAAAAATCAAATGGGATACCAGCTCCAACTATTCTTAACTATTTGTTGCAGGGAGATATGACCCCCAAAGCCTGGAAAAGCCACACACATTTGGGTGATAGTTATAAAAAACAGAAGTACACTGGGCAGACATGAAATACTAGAAATGTATGGTGTTGGCCCGTCTGGTGGTTTCCTCTCTTGGTAACTCTCCTTATTTTTCTGTCAGAGAAGCCCCTGGCATGCTACTACTGGGGTCCTGATCACCTTATACTGGACGGCTATGAATGGAGGGACAAAGAAAACTTGGAGGACACTGCCATTCAGAACCATAGTCTTTGTTGCTTCTGAATCCTTCCCTTTGATCAGTAATACTTCTTAGCAACTTTTATTGTCTCTGCTTCTTTTTGGAAGTTCCCCCTTTCTCTTTCTACCGCTAGTTGAATGACCTTCTATATTCTCATCAGTCCAAATTGCAAAGGATAGCATCAGATTGACTGGGGCAATTAATCTGCCTCCTATTAAGAAGAGAGCCTCTTGGGACTCCCGAGTGGCTCAGTCGTTAAGCGTCTGCCTTCGGCTCAGGTCATGATCCCAGGGTCCTGGGATCGAGCCCCGCATCGGGCTCCCTGCTTGGCGGGAAGCCTGCTTCTCCCTCTCCCACTCCCCCTGCTTGTGTTCCCTCTCTTGCTGTGTCTCTCTCTGTCAAATAAATAAAATCTTAAAAAAAAAAAAAAAAGAGAGCCTCTTGCAGCAGGCCTCATGTGTTGCTGACTCACTTATGGTTAGGCTAGCCTTAGATCAGGTGTCCATACTTCTCTATAGAGTATAAAGGGCAGTGTAGCATTATTTCTGAGTGCAGGTCACTGGGAGGATTTCAGATTGAGAGAGAGATACTGGGCACCAGGCCAATAAAAATACCTAGAGAAACAAATGCACATTCAAATATAGAAGAAAACAGCATTTGATGAAAACATACATACGTACAGTGAAATATGTTTCTGCTAAAGGTCATGAAATCAAAGAGATTCAAATACTTGTCCCCACTACAAACCACACTTACATGGCAAGATGGCAGCAAGAACGTCAAATCTCTTACTGTCCAGGTCAAATTCCTAATATGTGATTCATTGTTGAGCTCTGTCTTTCTAAAATAAGGAAAACACTGGCCAGTTTTAGTTCTGCTTTTTATAATAAAGCATGCAGTTGTGGCTTTTATTAGTTCCAAAAGAGAAAGCATACTACGTGAAATAGTAAACCACAGCTTGATTGTCCCTTGATAATCACATTCCAGGGATGTTGCAGTTTATTTATCCAAGTATTGATGAAAGGCTAACTTTTTATTATACACAAACCAATTTACACTGTTCTTACAATGAATAAAAAAAGTCATCTTTGCTTGCACAATTACACCATTACGTGGTTTTCAGCAATCTCTAAATGTTCCTTTCTTTAAAATTCCCTTGGAACATGGCTATTTTTATATTACCTATAGGTATGTTCTTCTTCTTTTTTTTTTTTTCTTGGAAATCTGAGGAATAAAATTAAAGTCAAATTCTGACTTGCTTCTCTCTCAAGGTCAGACAATACCCCCAATCAAAATGACTTAGTGGTAAAAGAGGCTCAAAATCAATATTCCAAAGACCTATTCATCCAGTGCCCTGGTTCCCGCCACTGTATTCTCTCTCTCCTTGCCTTTGGAACCATCTGACACCTTGGTGCAGGCTCAGCCATTTCTCAGTTCCAAAGGCCCTTGGTGGGAAGGATCTGAGGACAGCCACACCACACCGGAGGGTCCCACTTCAAGATACACTCACTGTGCGTCCTTCTCAGAGCCTGTGTCCAGTTGTCCTGCCTCGGATTTTTCTTGTTTCTGAAACCCAGAATTAAAAACAAGTGTTTGAAAAATTGGCTCTGTGTCTTGGAAACAGGTCACTGAAATTTGTGGGACATGTCTTACCAGGACATCCCAGTCTACTCTCTGTCCACCGTGTCCACAGTTATAGTGTTCTACGTGTACTGGAGCGACGTGATATCCTGGGGATGGGTGAGGAAACTAGGGAGCCCAGGAGCCCAGTCGGAAGCCAGCAAACTATGGTCGAGAGGCCGCAGCTGCCTTGCAGCCTGTTTCTGTAAAGCTTGCAAACTGAGAATGGTTTTTATTTGTCAAGCTGTTTTTGTTTTTTGTTTTTAAAAAAAGAAAGAGGAAGAAGAATACGCAAAAGAGGCTGCATGTGGCCTACAAAGCCTAAAACGTTCACTATTTGGCCCTTTACAGGAAAAGTTTGCCAATCCTTGAACCAAATTACCACAGAGCCTGAGAGTTGATCTAGTCCTCAGTCCATTGCCGCCCCTTCTGTTTAAAAGGAAACTGCTTTTGTGGGCTCTCCTTATGGGGGTATTTAATTTAGAAAAAGCATTTGCCAACTTAACAATTCCATATTAAGAATCAGAGTCTGTGTTGACTGGCTTCAGAAAATAAACCACATACAAAAGAGCAGCTTCTATTGGAATCACCCTCTCACTAAGTTTCCGATAGGCCTTGAATATTGTTCCCCAAACCCACCTATCTTCTCACTGGTCAAACAGAAGAGCTTAATGAGGACGTGGGAGCATTTGGGAAGGTAACAGAAATGATTATTCCTGCCTTTCTCAAGTGTTCGATAGTAACATTCATCTCTACAACCCCTCCCTGTACATGGCATTTTTTAGCTTGACTGTAACAGCAGGACCTTAACACAGAGGCTTCCTTTTGCCGCTCCAGAGCCTTTACCCCACACGCCAGGAAGCCAACAGACAGAGTCTGTTCCAACAAGTCTATTCCAACTGTACCTAGGAAAACGAGGAAGGTAACCACAGAATTATTCACTAATAGGTCCCTGATGACTCACTGTGCAGGAAACCTAGACCAAATCTCCACTGATAGTCCCTGGACTTCAGGAAGTCTCCTCTCCGTAGTGGGTTTCAACAGCATTCTGGGTCCTCTGGAATGAACAGTAGCTAGAGCCCATGGCAATAATCCTGCAAAGATTCTCCTGGACATAGCCATTTTCCTAAGAGATGATTGCAGGTCCTTTTCAGGGGATTACTAGAAACAGTGCTCATGGCACTATCGTAGGGTGCTTGCTCTTTCATGTATGGGCTGAAAAAGGGCTATAACTCATAATTAGAATTACTCAGGCCACCTAGAATTTGCTTTAGTTTCAGTTTATACAGATCAAGGAGGATGATAAAGTTTCTGCACATTTCTTCCAGTCCTATCCCTGACAGACCCTGCAATATCACCCCAGCCCTGCTGCCAGTTAGGGTAACCACACCCATTTGCCTCTGTCTTGGGTCCTGTCATTGTGCTGTCCCTTGCACTTTTGCCATCTGGGACCCATCACCCCCAGAGAAATCAGGAGCCCTTTCCTTTAGTAGCAACTCCCACCATCAGGTCTGTCTTGCAGAAGATAGCCACTCTGGCAATTCTCAAGGTATTTCCTTATGAAGACAGTTCCTCACTGTATAAAGTGCCCTTTATGCTCTCTCATGAGACATAACTAGATATAGATGAGTGATTTGCACATCATAAATATACCCTGGGCACCTGGGTGGCTCAGTCGGTTAAGCATTTGCCTTCGGCTCAGGTCATGATCCCAGGGTCCTGGGATCAAGTCTCCCTGCTGAGCAGGGAGCCTGCTTCTCCCTCTCCCTCTCCCTCTGCCCCTCCCCCCACTTGTGCTTTCTCTCTCTTGCTAATTAAAAAAAAAAAAGAAATTCATTTAAAAAAAATTATAAGAAGGGGTGCCTGGGTGGCTCAGTTGGTTAAGCATCTGCCTTAGGCTCAGGTCATGATCTCAGGGTCCTGAGATTGAGCCCCTCTTTGGGGGTCTACTTAGTGGGGGTCTGCTTCTCATTCTCCCTCTGTGCACTCTCTCTCTCTCAAATAAATAGAATCTTAAAAAAATAAAATTTAAAAAATAAATATACCCTAATATTTCCTTATCTTTACATCCATTTCTCTACATTATCCCCAGAAATTTCTGGTAACATAGCTTAAGCATTGACTACCACCACACCCACATTTCTGTCAAACATTCTGAGCTGCTCAAGTGAGCATATTGAACCCAGAATCCCTGGCAAGGCACCCAATGCAAAATAATCAACCTGATCTAAAATTATTCTTCTCTCTTCTTGGTCTGACACCCTCGGAATCCATTCCACGCATACTGCAGGTTTTTGCCATCACACATGAGCAAAATCTGGTTGATTCTTTTTGTTGTATAAATCTTTTCCCTCCAGCTTTGGACTTTGTATTTGCACCACACCAGCATGCTGGGATTGATTCTAGCTACGGCTCTGAAGACAACGTTGAGGTGTAGACACACAGAGAGCTGACAACTGCCGACTTACTTCCCTCCAGTCATCACAGGGCCCTCTGGCAAGAAAAGAACAGCCTCATAAAACAAGAAACGAGTTTGCTTCTGCTTTCAAGGAATATTTGGTGGAATGTGGGCTTTTAAGGTACTCAGAGACATAGGAGTCTGCCAAATGCCCTATTTCATTTTTCCTGGCCCTATTCTTTCTGATAAATGCCCTCGTGTTCACATAAGAAACGTGAAGTCTGGGAATCCACACTGTATTGCAGCTCAGAAACCTGAAGGATCGGGCTCTAGTTCTATCTTTGGGCTCTGTCAATTCAACAGCCACAAGAGAGAAGAGAGCCTGCAGGCAGGCATGGTAGTTCCTCAATTCTCTGAACTTACCTTAGGCAGAACACTTTAAATTTTATTTTATCATTTTTCCTTTAAGTTCTCTGGAACAGATAGAAAAATCTACACCACACAGTCACAACAGTCCTTGCATTCTTTATTCTTCTCATCATGACCAGGCTCTCTTTCATCACCAGAACATCATCATTGATAGGCTCCTTATTTGGGACAACCCCAGGTGATGGTTTCAGTTCATACATCATAAGTAAGTACCAGCGTCTATTTTATGATACCAACAGATTCTTAGCTGCCTTCCGTTCAAACCGGTGAGCTAACGTATCTCAGAATTTCACTTCTTTTTTTTAAATATTTTATTTCTTTATTTGCCAGAGAGCGAGTGAGAGAGAGAGCGTGCAGGCACGAGCAGGGGGAGTGGCAGAGGGAGAGGGAGAAGCAGGCTTCTCCCTGAGCAGGGAGCCCAATGTGGGACTCAATCCCAGGACCCTGGGATCATGACCTGAGCCAAAGGCAGACGCTTAACCGACTGAGCCACCCAGGCGCCCTCAGAATTTCACTTTTTGAGAGATGGTTGCTTGCCACTGCAACAGCCTGGGAGGGTTTAATTATAGAGAACAAGACCTACTCTATATGGTGTCCGCGGAAAGTAATTTGTTTTATCAGGGATTAAATGGCTTCTTAAATTGTTTATAAACTGAAGAGACTTTAGTCTGATCTTCCAGGAAAAGAAATCTTAAGTCATGATTCAGAACGGCTGTTGCCCTGGCCATACTCAGGAAGCGGCCTGATGGATCAAGAAGTCCTAGTGACAGCTGCTAGCTCAAGATCAAAGCACTTTCACTTCAATCTGCACCAGCAAAAACAGGAGCCTCATGTCATGTTCCCCTCTGCTCTTATTTCAGTTCTGGATTTAAGTCTTATGTAAAGGCATCTGGGTGACAGAACGTAAATCACGTCCAGAAGTGTGGGAAATGTAGATTTAGCTCACTAGCCCCTGCAGTATAGGAAGCCACACGAGAAAGAGGTGGGAATCGATTTTGAGAAAGCCAGTCTGCAATGTCCACCACAGTCTTTTTTTGGCAGGGGGCGGGGGAGGGGGGTCGGGGGGGCTTCCTGTGATTGGAACTCTGCTACCTGCTGACAGGATTTCCTGATGCCAACCTGCCGATCTTGCCACGTCTCTATCCTGACTGCTCCTCGATTGTCCATTGCTAACTATTAGGCAAATATCATCCCCCCTCCTCCATTTTTTGGTATTAAAACTGCTCCCCGATATGAACTACTTTCCTGGAGTACTGTTATCTGCTTTTCCTTGTCATACTCTTTACATGCAGCGTTTTGCTTGCTAGATGGAACTTTTCCTGTTCCTGCTGCTGTCTTCTTCGGAGTGCCTGCCCCAGAGAAGAGCCTATGACTCTATCAGATCCCAGTGCAGTCAGTTTGAACGCCTTGCATTGACTCTCATTGATAAAACAATTAAGAATTTTATTGGCAAAAAAAAAAAGAATTTTAACGGCATCAATCTAAATAGATTGCCAAATAGAATCCAAATTTTCAAAAAGGTCTATATCATCTCTTTCAAACTTACCAACAATAGTATTAATATTTACAAAGTTCATATCTGCGAAGTAAATAATACCTTGAATCTTCCTTTTAATTCAGGTACATATGCAAAACAGTATACTGCTTCCTTCTTTTTCTTTTTT